TTGCTACAGTACAACATGTGACAGTGCAGTAAAAACACACAAGACTGCCAGAAAGCCAGCAGAAGAAAATGATATTTTTATACATGCATCTCAAGTTTAAGAACACAAATGAGCCTAATTACAGAGGACGGCTGGCATATTTTGACAGTCTTGGCTATTATCACATTGTCACATTATAAACTTCACTGTGTTCCCTGCCATAAATTGTGTGCCGCTTTTCAACCAAAATGCATGATAAACTTAAAAAAAAAAAGAATGACTCTGAAATGAGAAGATAACATTGTAACATTGCAAACATGAAGAAAAACTCTTCTTAAAGTAGAATTTTAAATATATTAGTATGCTTTATAACCTTAAATGTCCTGTCATGATTTAAAAATTAAGTGTCATTTCATCCCTAAGCATTTTTGTGCCCACTTGACCTGTATGGCCTCTATCCCATATATCCATATACACAGGGTATGACAGGTGCTCACAAAGCCCCGGTCTACAGTAGACCATATACACAGGGTATGACAGGTGCTCACAAAGCCCCAGTCTATAGTAGACCATATACACAGGGTATGACAGGTGATCACAAAGCCCCAGTCTATAGTAGACCATATATACAGGGTATGACAGTTGCTCGCAAAGCCCCAGTCTATAGTAGACCATATACACAGGGTATGACAGGTGCTCACAAAGCCCGAGTCTACGGTAGACAATATACACAGGGTATGACAGGTGCTCGCAAAGCCCCAGTCTATAGTAGACCATATAGACAGGGTATGACGGGTGCTCGCAAAGCCCAAGTCTATAGCAGACCATATACACAGGGTATGACAGGTGCTCGCAAATCCCCAGTCTACAGTAGACCATATACACAGGGTATGACAGGTGCTCGCGAAGCCCAAGTCTATAGCAGACCATATAGACAGGGTATGACAGGTGCTCGCAAAGCCCAGAGTCTACAGCAGAGACACATATGAATGAAAGGTGCCTAAAGCGAAGTAGAGTCTTGGGCTCAAAACTCAGCTTTCTACATCTCAAGTCAGTATTTCTAAGCACAATAAATTGAAAAATAGTAATAATTCTGAAACTAGGCTGGACATGGTGGCTCATGCCTATAATCCCAGCACTTTCAGAAGCTAAGGTGGGAGGACTGCCTGAGCTCAGGAGTTCAAGACCAGTCCAGGCAACAGAGCGAGACCTCATCTCTACTTTTTAAAAAGAAAAAAAAAAAAAAAAATTCTGCAACTACAAAAGACTTCCTCTTATAGAAAGAAAATAAAGGTTTTCTATCCGAGTCATTTTCCTGTCTTTAATGTAATTATCATCAGTCTCAGGTCTCAAAGTTTAATCTAGGAATTCCACAAATTAACTGATACCCAGAGATGCCTCTAAGGCACTGATAAATTTTAAAACCTTTGCAAACATAATAAAATATACTTTAGAAAATCCACAAACTATAATTTTTTTAGTGGTATCTTTCCCATACGGGACATGAACTCAATACCTTGGAGTTAGCCAAAAACAAACTTACTTTACACAAAATTTCAATGTGTGATATCACGTCATCTAAACAAGAAATATACTTAAGTATTCTCCAGTATTATTATAGATGTGGGTGGTGTTATTACAACTCAGATGTACTCTTTCTGCTGGTACTGTCATGGACTGAATGTTTATGTCCCTAAAAGCTCATATGTTGAAATTCTAACCCCTAATTTGACGGTATCTGGAGTGGGGCCTTTGAGAGATAATAGGGTTATAAATGTGAAGTCCTCTAAATGGGATTAGTGCCTTGTGAAGAGATCCCAGAGATCTTGCTTCCTGTCTGCTCTTTGCCATGAGAGGATACAACCAGAAAGCAAGCCCTCCCCCAGATACCTGATCTCTTGGCACCTTGATATTAAGATTTCCCAGCCTCCAGAACTGTGAAAAATAAGTGTTTGTTTAAACCACCCAGTCTATGGTAATTCGTTATAGCAACCTGAACTAAGATATCTAATCATATCAACCAAAGAGAACAATATTCCCATACTTTATGATGATCGTTCCTTATGATACAGCAAAATTCTCAAGTCCTTCCTGTGATTATTCTGATTAAAGTTACATTGAATTTAGTATGAAATTCCATGGGGTGTACGTGGATATCTATATAGAAACTGCCTAGGGTATACCTAAAGTATTATCATGCCAGTAGCGTCCCCCAAATTATTATTTAAGGCTCAAAATTAATGCTTTTAGAAAACAACCAGAAGCTACGCAAGCCAGTAGGGGAAAAAGAGGTGTATGATAATTAAGCTTTGATATCCCAAAGGACAGGAAAACCTCTACCTCAAGTAGATAATTTAAGCTAATTTCCGATCTTCCTTGGTTTCTGATAAAGGATTTATTTTGTATGAAGTCCTCTGATCTTTCTTCTTCAGTCTCATAAATGTAAAGCAGTTGATCAATGCAAGCATATATACATGCACACACACAATTATGTATGTGTATATATGTGCACTCCCCCCCCACCTCTTAACCAGTAGCTAATAATTTAAAACACAGGCACTGAAATGCAAATTAGGAGGCATTCACAACTATGAAACAACCAGAGAAGAGGCTCTCTTGACCTATCTTCCTTCTATCTTTTTTATAAACTGTGGGAGAATTTTGAGACCATGATTAGGGAACAGCAGGATATGTTTCCTTCACCTAGCATTCATGAGAAGTCTTACTTCTCATGGGTAGCCATAAGGAAGAATACAGTATTAGCAACTAACTTACATAATAATGTATGGGTTAGGCAGGCCTATACACATAAAGTGATTACAGTTCAATAGATGTGTTTACTCTCCATAGCCTAATAATTATGGTCACTGAGATTTACTCTGCTATAGAACACATATAAACAGTCAACGCTGACAAATAAGGATTGGTTTCTATGGAGTAACATGGGCCTTCAAAAATAATTAGAACGTAATTCCTGATTTCAGAACTGTCAAAAACTCTTGAAGGCAAAAAAGGAAATTATGAGGCTCTGAGAAATCAGAAATCAAAACATAAAAATAAAATATAAGTAAAACCATGCTGAAAGAAATCAGAAGAGAAATTATACAATCTAACCTTTTCACCCCAAATCAGTTCCTCCTTTTTCTTGCCACTCCAACATTGATGAAATGTAGAGTAACTGAAATTTACTCTGGAGATACAGCAAGCGACTCCAAAAGGCCATGGAGAGAGAATTTCAACTAAAATTGAAAAGCCATACAGAGGTCTGCATAAAAAACAAACAAAGAGCACACCACAAATCAAAACCTTTAAGATAAGAACGCAATTAGCATCTACAGGTTGAATGAGCTAATAACTTATGCCAATCTTATCATTGCATTAGCTGAAAAGAAAACGAACTGACAGATAATCAAAGAACAAAGCAGTAGCTTCACTTCAGCAAAAACTCCATAGGATCACCAAAGAATAACTGGTGTGACTATCGTTTTCTCACTGGTGGATTCGTTTTTGGCAAGATTTTTAATGTCTAAATTTAAGTTAAACTTCAGTTTAACGAAATTAAAATTAACTTCATTTAGTGACAGTACACTTCTAAAACGGTCAAGCCTAGGACTGCTGAACAGCTATAGTTGCATAAAAACAATGCATTAGTCCTAAGTAGGGAAATGGGAAAGGGCTTTAAAAAAAAACAAAAAAAACATGCACATCCGATAAGGGCATATCTGAATCCCATCCTTTTTATCCTATCACAACACAAAACAGTTACGGTTTTCTGGGAAACATCCTAGACCGCTAGGGGAAAATAACACTAGACATTTCAATTCACTGTAACGAACTCTCATCAATAATAATAACCTCTAGCTGTTGTGACAACATGACATAAATAAAAATTAAATTGAATTTTTGAAATTGTTAGTTCCGACGTTTAAGTAGTTTTAAATAAGTTCTATTCTTTCAAAACTGAATTTCCTCATATCACATAATTTAAGACGCCTTTATTTCTTCTCCCGCTTGTCACATCTCTTTCGGGTTCTGAAGAGCACATCAGGGGGACTTTAAGTAGGCCACGTGGTTAGTGTTTGCTAGAACTCTTTTAGCTTCAGATCCAGTAATCGAGCATGCTAGGCTTGGCTACTCGCACTCCACACAGTTTATCCAGAGATCTAAACCCCGAATGAACCCGAATAGTTATTTGCTACAATGTCTTTCTCAAATCTCACATGTTCCCAAAATAAGGGTGCCCATGCAGTAGAGACGGATCCGGGCAGGATCATTAGATAAAATACGAAGGCTTTAAACGTCCTTCTCCCAACGAGCAGCCTGGGACCGGCGTCGGGGCGGCAGCCTCACCAGGATTCGGAGCGACATCCTCGCCAGAATTCGAAACACCTAGGAGACCCGCGCCCGCCTGACTCCCTTCGCCCCTGGGACCCCGTGAAGACGCAAACCTCCGGACGCCTCCCGCAGAACCACCTGTCAGAGCCAAGCAGCAGTCCCCACCTCGGAGCCTCCGACGTCCTGCTCGACGGCGCCGACAGCAGGAGACCCCGCTCCCTCAGGGTTCTCGTGGCCATAGGCGCCGCAGTCCACCGCACTCCGGCTAAGGAGGTCCCGGGCCATCACCTGCCCGCCTACCGACCACGCCCGACCCTCCGCTGAACTGAGTCTCTCGCCGGATCAACCGGCCCGCGGCGAACCCAGCTCTCGCCTCCGGCCGCTCCTTCTTATCCGCCCTGTCCCGCCGCGTCGCCGCCGTCCGAGCCGGCAGCCTGCTACTTACCTCCTGACAACTGCATCGAGTAAACCACACCGCCTTGTTCAACGCCGTCGCCGCCGCCGCCGTCTTCGTCACCGTCGCAGTCGCCGCCGCCATCTTTGTTGTGTCTCCGACTCCCTTCCCGCCCCCCTGCCTTGCTCAAGTCTCGCGTGAACAGGATGGAGGGCGAAAACGAGGAGGGGCCTGTTTGTCTCTCTCGGGGTTCCGTAGGCAGCAGTGGGCAGGGATTAAGGGGGGGTGTGTGCGGGGCGGGTACTGAGTGGGCGGGGCCTAGCTCGCGTAGCTCCCACAGGCTGACTAGTTACCCAGAGGCGCTGAACCGAGAGGCCTGCGGCGACGATGGAAAGCCTGGCAGTGCGGCTGCTGCGCGGCAGCAGGCTGGTGAGTGCGTTCGAGGCTGGCGTCCTGGGGGCCCAGGGCGACCTTGGCCCCTGGCATCACAGCTGGCAGAGCCTTCTAACGGGCCTCGGGGCGCCAGCCTGAGCCCCTCTCCACGTCGTGGGCCCATCTCCCCAGACCCTTGACCCGCGGGCAGCCCACGACCCCGACCCCCTTCAGGCCTCTGGGGGCGGCAGCTAGTGGCAAGGGGGTCGGGGCTGTCTAGAAGCTGCTTTGGCGGAGCAAGCGCCTTCAGTGGAGTCGGAGGGTCGCGTCAACAAGATGTCCTTTGCAGGCCGTTGCGTCCTGAGAGCAACTGAGTCTTGATCTCTGGATCTCTGGATACATTTTGCACAGGTGTTACCTCCCTGATGCCCTAACCCACCTTTTCCCCAGTGATTACATTTCACACCTCCTCCCCCCAAAAAAGATTGTTAAAATATAGGCCCAGTCTCATTCTGAGCAGGGTGTCTCCCTGTTCTTCCTTCCGCGGCCCCGCTCAAAGGTAGTAAGGGACTTCGGAGTTGTTCGGGCTTCCCGGCCAGGGATAGAGTTCCCTCTGCCCCTTATCTTATGTCTGGAGCCTGGGTTTCTTCCGTGGATAGACTCACCGCGGCCCAGGGGAGCCTGTGCCGGTCCCTCTTCCATGAACTTAAGCTGAAACCAGCCTTTTGTGCTTAATTCTGATCTCTGCACTTACACAAACTGTTGGTTCTTTAACAGCCCCTGTGTTAAACATCCTATGCTCTTCACCCCTTGGACCTATTATATAGCATGCTTTCCAGAACATACACATTTGGATACACTTGTGTTTGTCAGTACACTTCACTAGGAATTTTCCCACTGCTTACGTGTGCTTTTCGTGTTTCCTTTGCATTTGCTTTAATGAGTTGGGCTTTCCAACTGCTGCTCCAGTCTTATGCCCAGAGGCAGAACTCTTACCTTTTTACTCATTAGAGATAATTAATGTTATTTGTTTTACAGGCCTGAAATACAATAAAAAAATAGTAAGTGATTATTGTTTAATACTGTTTATAATTGTTGGTTAATAACTTAGCAAAGAAAATTTCCTTGGTTTTACCATTTGACTTTGTTTTAGAGCCAAAATTTATTGACCACATAATCTGTGGTAGGCACGTTCTCATTCTACCTGAGTCATCTCAATTCTCACAATCATCTCAACAGGTAGTTTAATCTTGCAGATGCAGCGGTTGATGCTGAAAAAGAATAACTTGCCCACAGATAGAAAGTGATAGAGCTGGTATTCGAACTCTGGTCTGATTCTAAACTTAACCTTCATATACTACTGTCTCCCCTTCCTTACAGATACCAAAAGCCTATTTTGTTTGGACTTTTGGTTTATTGTGGCTTATAGTCCTTTATAGTTTTTTAAGCTCTTTTACATAAATTAGCCAAATTTATTGAACGTCGACTGTAGCATAGTGGTTAAGAACGTGGGTTCTGCAGCTAGGCTGCTTGGGTCTGAACCCAGGCCCTCTCACTTCCTAGTGGTATAAGCTTGGACAAGTTATGCTTTGGGTCTCGGTTTTCCGATCTGTAAATGGAGAGAATAATTGTGCCTATTCCAAAACTGGTGTGAAAATTAAATGAGTTCATATGTTCATGTGAGGCACTTAGAATAGTGCTTGGCATATAGTCAGCTCTCGATAAATATCAGCTCTTACTGCCACGCACGAAGCATTGTGTGCTACGGCAGATGTAATAATGAGTAAAACACTCTACCTTCAAGAAGTTTATCTTTTAGAGAAGAGGTTAGAACTATATGGAACTAACCTCATATCACGTAGGTGTGGAACAAATCCTAAGGGGCTACCATCTGCGTGCAGATTCAGAATAGAAATGCTAGGACCATTGGGAAGTGATAGGCTCTTTGGAAGCTGGGTTAGAGTTTAGGAGGGGAAAGGAATGGTCAGAAAACTGCAACAAAAGGGGACTGAGGCCATTTTAGGGAATTGGGGATTGATCCTTTTGGATTGTGAAGAGCCATTGAAGGTCAAGAGCTTTGGAGTTTCCTAGTGCCACAGGGTAAGTAGATTGCTGTGGACACAGGTGGCATGGAGTGGGAAGAAATGCAAGGTAGGGCTAATTTTGGTTTCTATCCAGAGGCAAATAGAGAGCTAGCATTTACTCACTTATTGTAGACCAGGGACAGCATTTTACACCCACTACCCTATTTACTCTTCCTGTAAACTTCTGAATTAGGTATATTAGTGGCTTCATTTTGCAAATGAACTCGGAGGCAATAACCAGTGTTCCCGAGTCACACAACAATCAGATTGCAACACTGGCCTTCTCAGAAGGTCTCTCCTAGTCCTGCAGATGGATTAGAACTGCCCTGTCCATTTGGTCTAAGCAAGCCAGTTAGTGGAGAATTGGACCTTGTAGTTAACCTGTGGTTCCAAAGCATTTTAATGTAGCTTGATATCATTTTTTTTTTTTTTTGAGACGGTGTCTCACTCTGTCGCCCAGGTTGGAGTGCAGTGGCGTGATCTCAGCTCACTGCAACCTATGCCACCCAGGTTCGAGTGATTCTCCTGCCCAAGTAGCTGGGATTACAGGTGCCTGCCACCATGCCCGGCTAATTTTTGTAGTTTTAGTACAGATGTGGTTTCACCATTTTGGCCAGGCTGGTCTCGAACTCTTAACCTCGTGATCCACCTGCCACGGCCTCCCAAAGTGCTGGGATTACAGGCGTGAGCCACCACACCAGGCCGCTTGATGTCTTTTAAGAGATGATTCTTTTTTTTTTTTTTTTTTTTAACAAGGGCTCACTGTGTTGCCCAGGCTAGAGTGCAGTGGCATGATCATAGCTTACCATAACCTTGAACTCCTGGCTCAGGTGATTCGCTGACTTCAGCTTCCTGGGAGCTGGGACCACAGGCATGTGTCACCACACCTGGCTAATTTTTAAAGTGTTTTGTAGAGATGAAGTCTCACTGTGTTGGCCAGGCTTATCTGGAACTCCTGGCCTCAAGCGATCCTCCCACCTCACTCTCCAAAATGCTGGGATTACAGGCATGAGCCACTGCACCCAGCCAAGAAGTGATTCTTGAAAAATATCCTTGAGGTGATTTCTTGTTCAGTTAATTCTCTGAACATCTGCTAGACAGCAGCTGCCAAAATAGATATAATTCTTGTTGTTCAACTTTTTGCTCTTCAACAAAATCAGAAGTATTTTTTTTGGACATGTATTTGGCATCCAGGTAGAGAGAGCACAAATGGTTTGAACGTGTCCCCCAAAATTCATGTGTTGGAAGCTTGACCCCCGGTGCAGAGGTTTTGAGTGGGGGGCCTAATGGGAAGTGTTTGGGTCATAGGGGAACTGGCCTCGTAAATTATTAATGCTGGTTTCGAGAGAGTGAGTTCCTCATAAAAGGACAACTTTGGCCTTCTCTTGCTCTCTCTTTCTCTCCCCTCATTTCTCACTCTCTCTTACCCTCTCTCACCCTCTTGCCTTTCTCTATGGAATGACACACCTCTTAGCCTGAGAACTTGGAACAGCTGACTCATCATAAATGTTCTTAAATAGTTAGAACAGCTGACTCATAACAAATCCTCAGTAAACATTAGCTATTTTTAAAATTAATTAAGTTAGTTTGTTAGTTTTTTAGAGACAGGATCTTGTTCTGTCACCCAGGCTGGAGTGCAGTGATACAGATCATGGCTCACTGCAGCTTCAAACTCCTGGACTCAAGTGATCCTCCTGCCTTGGCCTCCAAAAGTGTTGGGATTGCGGGCATGAGCCACTGTGCCTGATTCTTAAAAGAGCAAGGCATTGTTAGGAATTCCTAAAGACTAGAATGAAGAATCAGAGACTGGTAGATGGGAAAAGTTGTGTTTTTAGCAGTTTTGGAGAATACCTAAAACCGAAGCTATTATTTCTGGAGAAAGCAAGCAGAGGCTGGACAGATTCTGGTGTAGAAGTTTTGGCTTGGGGATATGAAATTGGGATCAACTTAAAATCTAATCCATTGACACACTGCTAATAAAGGCATACCCAAGACTGGGTAATTTATAAAGAAAAAGAGATTTGATGGATTCACAGTTCCACATGGCTGGCAAGGCCACACAATTGTGGTGAGGAAGGTGAAGGAGGAGCAAAGGCACATCTTACATAGTGGCAGGCAAGAGAGAAGTGCAGAGGAATTGCCCTTTATAAAACATTCAGATCTTGTGAGACTTACTCACTATCATGAGAACAACATGGGAACACCCCACCCCCATGATTCAGTTACCTTCCACTGGGTCCCTGTCATGACACATAGGGATTATGGGAGCTACAATTAAAGATGAGATTTGGGTGGGGACACAGCCAAACCATATCAAGCAGGTATAAACAATTTGGCATAGGAAATCAAAATCAAAACTGAATATAGTGTTAAGTGTTTTTTCATTAAATTCTAATAAATTGCTGACACAATTCTCATAAGCCATATCAATTCCTGTAAATTTAAAGCCCATAAAGTAGTTTAATTTTCCTTTGGGGGTGGTGAGAGAATTTGTTTAAACTTCATTTCAGATAATTGTAGATTTTCATGCAGTAATAAGAAATATGGAGAGATCCTGCATCTTGTTATCTGATTTGCCCCTGTGGTAACACTTTATCAAACTATAGTACAATATCACAACCAAGAAATTGACATTGATACTGTCAACCTAAATAACAGAAAGAGGCTCTCTGAAAGAAAAGATGCTTATTTGGGAATAGAGCATTGCAATGGAAATACACGTTCCATAGGATTACATAATTGTTTTAAAATAATTATAGTTGGCTACAAGATCAATAACAAGGATGATGCAGGTCCGGGGTTGGACAGGTAGTTACTGGGGCAGATAGGCCTTGCAGAAGTATTTTTTCTGTAAGGTTGTGATGGCCTTTGTGCAATATTTTGGTGTTTGCAATCTTTGGTGATAGTTTTTTATCAGGCTTGCAAATATGAGAACCCTTTTTTCATGGCCTTCCCTCACTCTATTTGTCAAGG